TCAGAACGTGTACTATTGACTCCGTCCTGAAGGGGTTAAATCCCACCATTAACCAGAGCAGGGATAAATAACCATCTTTCCTTCAGCCTCTGTGTTAGGATTGGAGGGTAGTCCAGCATATGGACCCTGTCTATTCCTTCACTGTATGATGGTTTTGATAATAATATAAAATGTGGGCAAGCCCTGCCCAAACAATCGAAATACAAGGATGTCCTATTTCTCCAGCCCAGTACATTTTAAAACATGCAAAAGATGGGTGGGTGGGAGAAAAAGTGCAAATGAAGTGCAGGCTGGCCACCCACCACTGGACCACTCCCCAATCCAATCAACCAAAAGACAAAAATGTGATATATAGAAAAATTCTATAGATAGATTAGGGCACTGCATTCACCAATACAATTTATACTTATCACTTTAAAGGAAAAGTTCTCATATGCAAGAGATAAATAGAGAACAGATCATTAATAAAAAATAAACAGTGATATAAAAGCCAATAACACACTCAATAGAATGGTACAGTTAAAATGAATTAAAAGTGCAAAATAAGCAAGTTAGCCTCGATGGGCTGAGTCCAACTGGAGAGACAGCCACCGTTCTGTACCTCCGATATTGTATTCAGAGCACTGGCTTGCCGTCCATAAAATCCCGCCGATATTACTATACTGTTCTCCATCTTGTGGGATCCTCTGGCTCAACATGTTTCGCTGATGTCGACTTCCTAAGGAATCTATTGGGAGTAGATTGAGAACCCCTAGACATAGAGGGTGATAGTCTTTAATTGTTTTGGATCAGGAGACTGAGAATCAGATGGCTCTATTAAGTGGGCGGGTTGCATATGTATAGGATAAGGGCAGCAGAGCATACTCTGGTCCTATAGCTATTAAAGGAACACTATAGTCACCTAAATTACTTTAGCTAAATAAAGCAGTTTTAGTGTATAGATTATTCTCCTGCAATTTCACTGCTCAATTCACTGTCATTTAGGAGTAAAATCACTTTGTTTCTATTTATGCAGCCCTAGCCACACCTCCCCTGGCTATGATTGACAGAGCCTGCATGAAAAAACTGGTTTCACTTTCAAACAGATGTAATTTACCTTAAATAATTGTATCTCAATCTCTAAATTGAACTTTAATCACATACAGGAGGCTCTTGCAGGGTCTAGCATAGCAGAAGACAGGTAATTCTGAATTAAACACACCGTACGATAATGGACGATAAAAAAAAGTTAATACTTTTTCAGATTGGAGGCTGTAGGGAGGCATAAATGGCAGACAATTTAGCTGTTAAACTACAGGGGCACAATCTATACAACAGAACAAGCTATTAACATAGCAGGGGATAAGAAAATTTTAATTAAACAGAACTTGCAATAAAGAAAGCCTAAATAGGGCTCTCTTTACAGGAAGTGTTTATGGAAGGCTGTGCAAGTCACATGCAGAGAGGTGTGACTAGGGTTCATAAACAAAGGGATTTAACTCCTAAATGGCAGACGATTGAGCAGTGAGGCTGCAGGGGCATGTTCTATACACCAAAACTGCTTCATTAAGCTAAAGTTGTTCAGGTGACTATAGTGTCCCTTTAAGTTCAGAGGACTGGGCATCCCTTGGTTAATCCGTTACTGTGGTATGGAATCCCAGACCTCCCTATTATTTTATATTCCTTCACAGCACGGAACAACTGGGGGTTGAAGAAAGTGTACAACCCAGTCACCCAGTCTCTATATGTTTACAGGTCGCCCTACACAGGTGAAGGAATTGACAGGAAACATTAAATATTAAATCTTCATGACATGGGGTGAGTGAAGTGCGGTGATCATTATCCATGCTTCCCCTGATTAACTATGGTGCACTTCTTATAAAACACTACAATAAAAAAAAAAGAAAAAAAGTGAACATACTTAAGCAGAAGAAGCAATGGGTTTTACTTTTGCAGTAGTTCATTACAGTCATTAAAATGCTAATTATAATTCAGAGTAAGGAAACAAATGAACAGCTTTAGCACCTCAACATTAAAGTCACTGCACACAGGAGGCTGTTGCAGGCTCTAGCATAGCAGAAGACAGGTAATTCTGAATTAAACACACCGTACGATAATGGACGATAAAAAAAAGTTAATAATTTTTCAGATTGGAGGCTGTAGGGAGGCATAAATGGCAGACAATTTAGCTGTTAAACTACAGGGGCACAATCTATACAACAGAACTGCTTTATTAAGTTATATTTGTTTTAGTGCTTGGAATGTCCCTTGAATAGGCAGATTAAATGGGACAATTGGTTATTTTAAAAAATAAAATAAAATATCTGTTGCTGTATTCTACATTAAAGGAGATTTATCATATTGCTGATATGTGAAAATTGTTGCAATGAAAGTGATGTGCATTCGCTTTTAAAGAAATATTGGTGGGTTGTCAGAATCCCCTAACTTCGAAATACTATATAGACAAATCATGAATCAATAGAGGGAAACAAGGAGAAGCAGTAATACAAATCTATACTTATGTAACTCTTTTTTGCCCTGCTCCTGGCAACACGCCGTAGTTAGCACCAGTTACATCTTCTGTCGCTGACAGGGATCCTGAGCCTCTGCTATAGTTGGGACATCTTGATCTGACACAGTGCCTCCACTCAGTGCAACTTCTATTTATGGGAAACCCACCCCACTGAGTAGATTAGGACCCTCCACTTAATAATACCTCAGATACATGAAATAAAGACATGGGAATACAGAATGCATTGTGGTTAAAGAGATACACATATAACAGCAGAAATTAGCTCCTGGCTCATGTTAAATGATGATAAAGTCCCTGATGTAGGAATGATACAGTCACAAGGGTCTTTAGCAGCAGGAATCCAGACAACAAACTTCCCTTAATAACATCAATAACTACATTTGAACAGTTAAACTCCTAGGTACCTGCAGGTAAATTATGTGCACAACGTTGGGGCCCTTAGGTGTAGGTAGCTCTACCCAGGTACAGTTACATGGGAGAATCCTGAAGCAGAATGTAGGACATCAGCAGAACAACAATGACAATCCTTTCTCTTCCTTCTGCTGACAGGATGCAAGAGCTCATTCACACTCCTGCAGAAAGTTCCAGAATCTGCAGGGAGCGGGACATTAAATAACAAGTCTTCTAATTCTCATGGCAGAGCAGTAGACAGTCTCTGACTTCTTGTAGTTGCAGTGCACTAGCCTTCCCCTGGTATTATTTCACTGTCCCAGCAGTAATAGACCATTGAAACAGGTAGCGACACACTTTCTTTTAGCAGACTCAGAGAACATGGCTTCTCCCCTGTCCTCTTCTTTCTGCCACCCTAGCCCTTCCTCCTCACACGACAGGGCAAAGTTCAATATCTCAAAACTTAAAGCAAAACAGTAAAATATAGCAGTCTATTACACTTATATATGTCTATAGATAATATAAATATAGATTTTATATTGTTCATCCTATTTTTCCTACTTTTAGTTACTTTTTGTCACATGGTCCTTGAACGAAACAAAGCAAAAATGCACTGGAAATATATACACAATATTTTGCAATATACTTTATACTTTTAGAAGAATATATGATTAGTGGAGTGCTGATTAACTAAAAAAAAATATATATATATAGATAAGAGATAAGGTACAAAGATAGGAGACCTAACAACCTATATAATATAAAACAAATGAAAAAATCAATAAAAGTACCTTTTCCTCTAATTACTCATAATTAGTAGCCTTACTTGCATACTCAATATTAATTTTAAAACTCAATTTATTAATAATATACAGATAAATTAAAAAAGGTAGCAACTGTTAAAAATAATATATATATTCAGAAAAAAGCCATGCAAAAAAGGGAAGAAAGTCCAGACCTTGTTTGATATTGTTAGAATCAGAGAACACATGTTGAATATAAAAAAAGGTTATATGCAACACTCAGTTTCAGCCCATTTTAAGCAGTACCATAATTCAGATATGAGTCTTCTGAATTTTAAGGGGATATGCAAAGTAAATAAAAACTGGAGAGGCGGAGACCATAATAAACAATTGGGCATTACCGAGATGAAATGGATTTACAAATTAGATACGTTGCAGCCTAAGGGATTAAATGCTGAGTTCGAGCTGTGTCATTTTTTGGGATAAATTCCCTTCTCTTCCTCTTCTTTTTTTTTTGTGTGTGTCCCTTTAAGAGAGTAAGTGGTAGGGACCTTTTAACTCTTTTGGGGTTTATATTATATATATTTTTTTCTTTTTAGTGTAATAGAGCAAGGGTCCTCTAAGAAGAATAGCCTTATATTTATATATTGCTCTGTAGAGCAAATATAACTCAAATGAATTATAACTAATAGAGGCAGAATAAGTATTAAGGTTTAAAACATCTAGACTGCCTCAATAATAAAATTCCTAGATCAGAATTATTGATCTTAGTTATAATATAGTAATTATCTATATGAGCATAATATAAGAATCAAAGATACAATTTATTTTTATATTTTTATATTAATTAATCAATTTTATTATCTTTTTGTGTTCAGTCTTATTAAATGAAAACGGCAGTTATATTTAAACCTGCTTAGGCGGGTGTTACTATAGTAACAATAATAAATAAAGAAAAGCAATATACTATGTTGATTAATATAACAAATAGCAACGTTTCTTAAAAGTTTGATATTATGTAACTTATTAGTTCCATAGAAGATAGCATATTTTTGTAACATCTATTATTGAATTTGCCGTGAAAAAGCAAGTCGGCTATCACTATATAAACGGATACAACGAGGCAGACCGCATCCATTGAGAAAGCCGCTGAAGCGGAGAAACGCGTCTGGAGGGGTCTGACTCCCATCGATACAAGCCAATATTTGCACTTCAAAGAGGACTTCCTAATTGATATTTTTCAGCATTATCTTTGCTGACTCGGGACGCCAAGAATATCAAACAAGGTCTGGACTTTCTTCCCTTTTTTGCATGGCTTTTTTCTGAATATATATATTATTTTTAACAGTTGCTACCTTTTTTAATTTATCTGTATATTATTAATAAATTGAGTTTTAAAATTAATATTGAGTATGCAAGTAAGGCTACTAATTATGAGTAATTAAAGGAAAAGGTACTTTTATTGATTTTTTCATTTACTTTATACTTTTGCCAATTTCGCACTCTTTGTTTCATCTGAAATGTTTTCTGCTAATTGTTTGCATGGCTAATATTCATCCGAACTGAAATGCAATATGAATGAATGGAAATGTAAAAAGTTTTATTTTCATCTCCAAAGCTTAAAAGCCATAAGACCACTTTAAACAAATCAAAGCCACGGGCGCATCCTTACCACTCTCACCGGCGTACTCCACTCTAGGTACATCATCTCTGGGAAACCTACTTCCTTGCTTGCCTTTTTTAAAGCACCGCAAAGCAGGGTAGACTCCTCCACAATTGGAGCATTCGTATTTGAATCTGCAGGATCCATACTACCTGCAGTAGCTCTCGTTAAAGAAACCAACAAACCCCTTTGCGCTGCCCAGGCGGAAAGGGGGACGACCGACAGGGATTCATAAACAGAATGACAAAATTCAGGCCTGGACTCACTGCCAGTTTCTGGTAAATTGCTGGTCATACTTAAACCAGCATTGACCCCCATATATTTTATACGTCCCCCAAATCAGGTCTAAGTACCAAAACAACACTCCTCGCCTTCTCTGGAAAACTCTGCGTTAAAATGCTTGCATAAATAGAGAACCCCTGCAGCCAGTTGCCAAAGGTACGTGGCAGCTGCTTACCTTTTCCCCCATCCGACATGTCACCTCGTCGTGGCCTATCCACTGATTCCCTATCCGGGGGCACCTTTAATAATTTTGTCCCTGATGTCCAGCGACACATGCATCCCTAATGGGGTCAATTTGCAGCCCGGAAATCACGGACGCACTCCCCCTGGGAGCACACCCTCAATACTCCTACCCTGGCTCAGGAACTGGGCAGGAAGGAGGCAAGGGGCAGAGCAAGAATCAACCCCAGGAAGCCTATCTAGCACTGCCCTTAGAAAACTCAGCACCTCCTGACTCTGCAACCTAGGTAAACTACTCTGGAAACCTTCTCCATCTCCCCCTCCCCTGGACCCAGCCAGAGCGTCCCAGGTGCTGGCGCAATACTCACGGTTGGCTGCCTGAGGATCCTGAGCAGGAACCACTGTGGCCTCCTCATCTGAACCATCAATGAGATGAAGTGGTGTGGGTGCCTAAAGTGTCCCTTTTTTTATTTTAACGTTTATATATTAAAACAAAGAAACAATAAGAAACAATAAACAAATAAGTATATAAGTAAAAACCAATATACGTAGTTGTTAGAATGGCATTATGTTTAATGAATTCATGATAAGTAAATCTTTTTTCAACAAAGTAAATTGTAATAGCTACATAAAAAAAAAAGCTGTCATAAATGTCAATGGCTGGATAATGTCCCTAAAGGACAATCCTGTTAGTATTATATGGAATTAGATGTACTAAGGTGAGTGATTTGGATCAGATACCAATGACTTATTGTAAGGTTTAAGATTTATATTTAAATTCTACTATCCATGTACAAGTATCTCTACTACTATCGCGCATTATATTTAATTTCTAATACAGGCTATGTTAATTCTACTTTCACCCGTTCACATACAGGTCTACTATAAGTCTTCTGTCCCATTAGATTTCCATTACTTTTGATACATTTAGATGCACATGCATGAATGAGGGAAGCAAAAACTCAGTTTTTATTCAACTTCTCACAGCAATTATTTGGTCCTTAAAAATGTAAATTTGGTTTTGATTATCCTGCATTACACTGCTTACTAAATAAATCTTTACAAACATGCTAAAAGTAACATTTTTGGAGGGTTGGTCAAATCTTTTATTTTTTGACTGTTAAAACTGATGATCTGCAGCTACTCACCTCTATTTTATCATAACTTTTCATGTCATTTCTGTTCCAACCCCAATATACATTCTTTCTGGTCAGTTACTTTATTTGTCATTTAAAAATAAAAATAAACCTAATGCCCAGACCCTCTCACATAAGCACCAAAATACTATCTTCCAAGATTATTAGCCTTGTTTGAGGACTATTGTATAGGTTAACTGGCATTTTGTCTGTGCTAAAGATAAAGATACTACCAACCCGGCACATAATGTAAAAAACTTACAACATCAAAAACAATGTCGGTTTATAGCTTATTAGACTGTGTGCATTGCTAGTTTTAATGAAATATTTAGGTAAATACAGATGTCTCTATAAATCAGTATAATGGAAAATTTCAAGTAGCTTTATTTATTTCAGAGATCTATTTTACTTAGTGTTATTATCAATGTTTGTTGGATTTCTTTGCTCCTGAGACCATAGATTATTGGATTAAATAATGGTGTCACCACCGTATATAACAAGCTGAGGATCTTGTTTACGTTTGTTGACTGTCCTTTTGAAGGTGCCAGATAAAGAGCTAATAAAGTCCCATAGTACATTGATACCACCATGAGATGAGAACTGCAGGTGGAGAAGACTTTCTGCCGTCTTATAACTGATGATATGCTAAAGATTGTCCCAAGGATAAACATGTAGGATACAATAATAATCATAAATGGTAAAAGCACAACTATAACTGCAAGGATAAATGATTGAATTTGAGCTGTGCTTGTGTCTGAACAAGAAAGTGTTATTAATGGAGAAAAGTCACACATGAAATGGTCAATATATTTAGGGCCACAGAATCTGAGTTTTCCAACCATCACTACCAGCGTAAACATGAACCCAAAACCAGCTGCCCAGCACCAGATGGCCATTTTGATACATAAACTGATGTCAATCAAAGAATTGTATCGTAATGAATTACATATAGCCAAATACCTGTCATAAGACATTACAGCCAGAAGTAGGCAATCAGTAGCTGCAAGAGATGCAAATAGATATAACTGGATCAAGCAACCTGCTAGAGACATTTTTTTAATATCATTTAGCATGAGGTGCATCATGTTGGGGGCTGTTGTAGTGGTGAAGAATACTTCTGATAAAGACAAGTTACAAAGTAAGACATACATGGGAGTGTGGAGGGAGTTACTGCTGCAAACCAATCCAAGGATCAATATGTTTCCTGTCACTGTTATAACATAGGTAATCAGGAAAATTAAAAAAATGAAATTCTTATAGTTTTGCGAAACATTGAATCCCAAGAGTATAAATTCTGTTGAAGTAGTCTGATTGTCCATGTTTATCACATGTTTAGAGCCTGGGAATGAATGCAACCTTTTATGGTTACACCACAATTCCATTTCTGGTATACCCAAGTCTATAGAGTATGCCTAATATTGGTGTAACCGCCGAGTCAGCCACTGCACATATTACTCACTGTTCTGCAATATCTCTTATATTCTAAAAAGGGCCAACATTGTAAATCACCTCATTCAGATGGCCCTGAAAGAAAAAAATAATCTAAAAAACAAGACAAAATACGGAAATCTATATTTTAGTTATATATTTAAAATGAGGGGTATTTTAATATCACTAATGAAATAACAAATAGCCAATTTTTGATATTTGCTAATATGCTAAAATAAAAACGTGACAGTGTGGCTTTACATACAGATCTTCTTGCACTAAGGAAATATTTAATTTCCATGCATATGTGATGTTGGTAATTTTTGCTCTTGCTTAAAATCTAAAAGTGTAAGAATTATTTTAGTTCAGTTTATTATCATCTAGAATTACCCAGTGATTGGTGTGCATTTTGTCAACAGCCTTAATTTTCATAAGTTGCAAAACATTGCCAGTCCTCTTGTCTTACCTAAAAGAACAGTTCTACTAGTTTTACGTGATTTTCTTGTTCCAAGTATCTTTCCTTGAAATATCTTATCTCTTTAAGCACATGATTACTTCTTTATATATTTACCATCACGTATTAAACTTCAAACAGCATTGATACAATTTATGCATACTTTTTAGATGGTGACATTTCGTAGGCTCTTTCCCACAAGACATGCACAGAAAATCCCATTGGTATATTTATGTTAGGAATAAATGTCCAGGGATTGTTCCGGTAATTACTAACCATGATATACTTTGGCTTTATTCATTAACAGAATTTTAGTGAATTGCAAAATTTAGTAAAAAATGGACAAAACAGACAAATTGCGGATTATTTTTCCAATTGTTGTTTTTGCCTTGTTTTTCAAATTGTTTTTAGTTCACTACCACTCAAAGATTTGTGATTAAACCCTCCATGGTTATTCTTTGTGAGTGTTTATTATATATTATACTTAACCCCTTAAGGACCAAACTTCTGGAATAAAAGGGAGTCAGGACATGTCAGACATGTCATGTGTCCTTAAGGGGTTAAGAATGATGACACTGTGAAGTATTTAACAGCTCACTAGTTAAAATAATGGCTATTATTCAGAGATTATTTTATTATTATTTTTAAACTATATACTGTATATTTATGGAAAGTTTCCACTGTGGACTTCTAGTTCCAATCCTTGAATGATTTTATCTTAGAAAACACTGTCCATACAGATGATTCTAAGGCAGACTTGTTTGTTGAGCCTACTTTATGTATTGTGCACTGTTAGCGTTTTTGTTAAGGTTATCATTATATAAATGATGCAATTGCAATAATCATTTACACCGAGTAGGCTGACTAATTTGATATGTAAAAGCACAGACAAATAACTTGGACAATCCATTATAGAATGCATGTTTAGCGCCTTATCCTTTTTCATATCAAATCAATATATCATATATATAAAATGATCTACCTCTTATTTAGTCAGCCTTTGAATAAACCAATATGCAAAATGTGTTGGGATCACTCCTCTCAATTAAACATTCCAACATGTTGACTTCACCAGCATTTCCGAAGCCAGTAGTAAAAAACACAGATGTAAGAATCTGTTTGTGAACCTTCTTTATAATACATGTGATAAGTAGCATGATATCTTTTATCTAGTAAGCAAATTTAATTTGTTTAATAAACAAGTGTAATTTGAATCAGCAGGACTACTCTACATTTTCTCCTTATTTGGGCATTATTTCAAAAAAGGGGGAATATATATCGTCTGATTCCTTTTTAGGAAGTGAATGGTCTCTAAGCAACAGAAAATATTGATTCACCTTGTCCTGGTGCTATCCCAGTGTAATTGGTAAAACCGTTTTAGAACAGTTTGACAATTTATCTCAGTCATACCAGGTGCCCATGGCCGTATAGCCTGCTCTCAGATTCTCGTGCAGGAGAATCCAGTTAATTATAGTGATCTATATAGCTTGGTTGCTTCACCTAAGTGTTGCTTCTAAGTGTGTAGTTGGAGATATTCTGGAGATAAACTAGAGGTAATCTGAGGTATTCAGGAGGATAAAGAAAAAAGTTAAGATTAGTTTGAGTTAAATTATTTTCCTCATTGGAATGGCAGATTTAGTTCAGTGTAATAGTTGCTATGCATTTGTTTCATGTTCTACTTTTTGGAGGTTTGGTTGTTGTCTAATTTGTAGACAGTTCTCTAACTTGTGGCAGGAGGTTGTATTTTTGAAGTCTGAGATTTGTAAATTATCTGGTGAACAAACTCAGACTGGAACTGCTGCAAAGCCACTGCCGCAGAGACATACTAGGAATGGCAGATGGATTACTGTAGGATCTGGTAGACTTAGAGTTGTGGATAAAAGGCATTTTGCACAGTCTGTTGCTCTACATAATTCCTTTTCTGCACTTTCAGAGTGTAATGGTGTTGTGGAGAGAGGCACTGAGGCTAGTGGTGTTGTGGAGAGAGGCACTGAGGCTAGTGGTGTTGTGGAAACAAGGAAAAAGAGAAAGACAGCGCTAGATAACTTATAGGCAGCAACCTTTTAAAGGGGATCCCTCAAACCCTTTAATTTGGATAAAATAAGAAAAAGAAGAAAAAAGGCTGTGCACTCAGATAAAATTTGAAAAAATAAAATAAAAAAGTTATTTTTAAATAAAATAAAGTCCAATTGGAAAGAAGGAAAAGTCCAATATTATTGTCCTTACAGATAGTCTTTGCTGTTGACGTCTTCTACTTTGTAGTGAGTCCACTTATATGAAAGATAAAAAGAGAGAGGGGGACAACCAATAGTGTAGTATGTAGAGTTCTAATATGGATGTGTAGAAATAATAATATAAAACTCACATTTATCAGAGCTAATGTCCTAGCTCTGGAATAAAGCGCATACGGCGGTTTGATCCCCGCTTATGGGATATAGATGGGTTCCTCTCTGTGATACGTGTCCAGTTTCTCGAAATAAAAGAGACAGCCAATAGTGCTCACTGTATAGCAATATTGATAAAATAATAAAAGAATGTACTTACAAAACCAGAGCAGACCAACTGCTCCGTGATGACAGCTTGGGTGGATTGATCCCCACCTTGGATTTCTTTAAATGCAGGAAACTTCCAGGGGTTTTCAGGTTTTTTTTTAAAAACCAATAAAAATAATAATTAAAAAGCCAGGGTAAAAAGAGTATTATGTGTCTATAAAAAAAGATTATTGGCACAAACAAATGACCAAAAAATACTTTAATATATTTACAAACACAATAATTAAATATCCATAACGCGTTTCGTCTAAGACTTTATCAAATGGAATAACAGATGATACCTGGCTTGTAGGTGTTATATAGGAACATAACTCATTTGAATTTGGCGCCAAAAATTGGTCCGTCCAATCAGAAACAGAATCACATTTAAAACTTAAAATATGTTCAAAACTTAGTCAGTATACAATTTATAGTAATATAACTTGTTTCTAATGGTTAGAAATCAAAAACGAGGGTTGGAAAGTATAATTTAGAACATTTTAAAACGATCACGTGACATACGGCACTTCCGCATTTCGGAAGTTTTCGCCGCAATGCCTTATGGGAAATGTAGTTAAAAGTTAGCCGCGACCGGCGGCCGCATACAGAAATAAAAAAAAAAAAAACGATAATCATACATAACCTAAGGAGATTTAGTGCCTTGGAGGCATTTTCATTGTAGAGCATAGATTTTAAGTTATAAATAAAACAGGTAGGCAGGGGGGCACATAACTAATACATTACTTCCTCAAAATGGAGGTTTTTGCCCAAGTGCAACCTGGGAAATGTAGTTATCTTTAAAAATAAATAAATAAAAAATGAAGTATGGAAGTTTCACCATTGCAAATTAAAATAAAGATATACAGAATAAGAACTTAATTTGTAAAATACTGGCAACATTAATACAATAAAAATAGATGTATAAAAAGGGATTGTATACATAAAAGGAATATATAAGCCATTCATATTATAGACAGCAATAAATAATACAAATATTATTTAACATAAAAGTCATAAAAAATTGTGTAGATCAAAGTCAGCATTAAGACCATGGGGTATAAGAGTCTGAAGTTTATACACCCATTCCATCTCGGTTTTTCCAAGCAGTTTTTTTATGTCACCTCCACGCCAAGAGGTAAAGCATTTTTTTATACCAATGCATTTTAATAGGCGTGGGTCCTTATTGTGCATGATAAAATGTTTGGATACTGTATGATTTAAGTATCCATTTTTAATATTTCTGCAATGTTCGCTTAGCCTTATCTTTAAGCACCTTGTGGTCATCCCCACATATTGGAGGCCACATGGGCACTCAAGCAGATAAATAACATTTTTCGTATTGCAGCATATAAAATCATAAATATTGTACACTTTTTTTGTCTGATTGGACATAAAACTTGAGACTTTTGATGAAATAAAATGATCAGTGGTTTTGCATACAATACATTGTTTACATCTATAAAAACCCTTTGTCTGGGTAAAAAAAGACAGATTTT